TAAGACCTCGGAAATTCTGAGGACCAAAAAAATAAATACCGAGTTGAGTTTTTCTAGTTCAATTTGATTTTTATCGGTTACAAAGACGTCCCCCTAGTGTAAAATTTCATCCTCTACAAGTCGAGTTCTTTGGCATTTTTCTCGTAAACGCACGATTTCAGCGTAAAATCGAGTTTTTTGTACGAAATCGAGGTCTAAACCAAAATATCATAATTTCATCAAAAAATTGACCTTTGGCACCATTTAAAATGGTTGAAATTGGCCCAAATTTTGGCAAACATGTTTTTTTACCAAACGTCATCGATTGCCGCCTGAGGAGCGGAACATTTCAGACTTTCATTTTTTTTGACGCACCCTAATGTAACACCAAAGGTGAAGAACTCAATTTTTGTACTTACTGTCATTGAATAATTCTGCGTTTCGCCGAAAAATTTCGTGTGTTTTTAAAAAAAACGGACGCACTGAAAGAACCATTTAAAACTTCATGACGCCTCCGGTTTTATAGAACTAACTTGCTTTCAAGACATTGTTCACACTTCAAATCACAACAATTAATAATTATTACGATTTACCGAATTTAGTTATCATCTGATAACCCACTTTTCACTCAGTCTTAATGTATCAAAATATGAACTTATGGTTATATATTTCCAATAGAAATTGTATTTATTTGTTCATTCTCTTCATTTTTCTTCAATGTTTTCTTTAGTAGTAGACCATGGCTCAAAATTACAAAGCAACCACCTGCTTCTGTTATATATATATAACCTATAACCTCTATATAACCTATCACACATCATTGAATGTTATTTAAACTGTAGAACAGCTTGAAATATCAATAACTTATAATATTTCTAATGGCATATTGCGATGCTTAAAGTGACACATTTGTGAATTTCTGAAAAAAGTATTGTTTTTCGTTTTAATAATGAAAAAGTTGGGAGGTCACCACGTTACGCCAATTTTCCTTTCAAATACTTTTAAGGGCGAAATAATTAGTCATAGCAGGAGCTATGATGATTCTAACAAAAATGATGGATGCCGAAATGTTTATGCCTAGTCAAATTATCTGGGTCGTAATTTCCATTCATAGTAAATTTGGTATATCCCCCACTTTTTCATTCTCGAACGTCTCCCATAAGTTTCACGCGGTTCGTGATGTGACCAATTTTTCCCCCTTTTTTTCTTTTTTTTCTCAAGAAGCGGTCTTAAAAAAATTAAGCAAATCTTAATGAAAAAATCAGTTAAGAGAAATAAATAAAACGAAGACGTTACCGCAAAAGCAATGTAATCATATACTTCATAAATTATTGAATTCCGGCTGGTAAATAACGAGTATTTTCATAATATAGTCAACGTTTTGAGTTTAATTAGGTTCTTTCGTCGTATAACGTTCATGAATAACCCTCACGACCCTATATCCTCCTTTAAATGCCTTGTGCCAAAAGTATGAGCCATTTCTGTCACACACTTACGGCTCCATATTTTATAGGTTCAATGGGCTTAGTTATGTATAATTAATCCGGACAAAAGTATGCAAAATTCCACCGCGCCAATCAAAATAAGTCCAACAGAAAAAAGTAAGAGAATATTCCCCTTTTAGCTTTGCACCTTAAAGGAAAACATTGTCTATTTACCATCACTTTTAGTAAGAATAACCTTCAATCAAATGTACCAGTTTTGTAATTAGGATCCAAGAGATACTTTTTTTACATCTTAATTAGTGAGTTTTCTTGACTTTTTAAAATAACTCCTACTGACTATTTAAACCCTGTGCAAGGGATGGAATATTACTTTTAACTACGCCAACTAAATTTTTGGGGTAAAGCAGACGCAATCTATCTGGAAATGTATCTGAAATTTTGAATTCTCTATTCACTCAAACGCATGTTTTTATCTCAGATCAATGCATAAATATCACGTAGTAAGTTTAGCTGTCTTAGATTCGCGAGAAAGTTAAGAGTCAAGCAGTAGAACTAACATCAACGACAAACAATCATATTTTATAAATGCCTTGATACTTTTTTTTCACATAAGAGAGTAAATTGTACGTCAATTCCTTCCGTACAATCGCCATCGTCACGCATTTACGGAATATACCAAAAACCTAGGTAAACTTAGCAGAAGCTATGGTGATCCGGAAAGAATTAACAAAACAATTATGCAAGCAGAGACAACAAGTAATTGATACTAACACTCAAGACTGTATAAATTTCCAACATATCAAAATATTTGATCCATTTACCAAGTTATAATTGCATATCCTAACGAGGTTTGGAATGGGAACAACGCGAAGTAAATACGACGTGGAGTCGGGCTGAGGGCCCGAGCCGGGGTAGCGACATGAGGGCGCGGAAGCTCGCGGTGAACTGAGTCGAGAGCGCGGAACCCGAATCAGAGTAATGAGTGGCGCTAGGTACCCACGCGGCGCCGCCGCCGCCGCAGCCGCGGAGTCAAGAAGGCTTCGCCGCACCGGGCGTCGCACGGTGGAACAAGCTAAAAGAAGAGGTTGGACATGACATTTTTGGCTATAATGGACCACTAGACAAAGCATGAATTTAACTTTTCTCATACATTTTTCTTAGTTATAGTCTCACGTATAGAACACAATTCTTGCATCGAAAATATCTGAAATCAACTCCGACACTGGAAAAAAAAAACCACATTGGATCTAGAGTCCAGACTCTTAAAAACATCAACAGTAAAAAGTACTCTTAATTCAATCAGAATCTAGCTTAAATCAAGAACCGAGCCTCTTCATTTAAGCGGATTTCGTTTTGATTCAAGCAAAAATCCGATTGAATCAAGAGTACTTTTTCTTGTCAATGTTTTCAAGAGTCTGGACTCTAGATCCAATGTGTTTTTTTTTTTCCAGTGTGCCTAAGATATCAACGTTTTTAATTTACATTGGTTGCGGGAAATTTGAATTGCCCACGTTTCAGAATGCTTAACTTCTTACCTCGTCTAGTGGTCCATTTTAAATTTTCAAGTTTATTTCGTCACAAATTCAATTTCAAGGGGTGTTTCTGGGAAGGAAAGTTCCCGAAGAACCAATGACACCTCTCCTAAACTTGGATTATTAATATTTTCGATAGAACAAACTTTGTAAGTTTCCAGATTTTGTCCGAATTCTCCTATTGCCTTGCTCCAGTGTGCGTTAGTGCGCCGGGGGAATTCTGAATTCAACAGATTCGCCATCATCCCGAGTGCACCGCGTGTGCCGGACATGCACGCGTTTGACCTCACCCCAGCTGCTCGAAACGCCAATGGAAATCTTATGAGCTTTATGTCTTGCGCAGGTTGCAACTTGCTTATTTACTTACTAAACTTAGTTATTTACCTATGTATGTAATGAAAAGATACCGAGGTATTATGGATAGATTTCTTTTAATTTACTGAAGCACTTTTCGGCTTACGTCATCTTCAGATCAGTATGAAAAATCTTGAGCCTATGTATTCACATTTCGAAACTTTACATCACAAATCACTAGGGGAAAAAACACATTGGATCTAGAGTCCAGACTCTTAAAAACATCGACAAGAAAAATACTCTTGATCCAATCGGATTTTTGCTTAAATCAAGAACCAAGCATCTTAATTTGAGTGGATTTCCTTTTGATTTAAGCTTAAATCTGATTCAATCAAGAGTCCTTTTTCATGTCAATGTTTTCAAGAGTCTGGACTCTAGATCCAATGTGTTTTTTTTCCCCAGTGAATATATGATGGAGTCAATATAAAAATCATGACATATGATAAGAAACTTCATCACACAGTAAAAGTTTTAAATACGTATATCAGCCGATAGAAAGCCCAATCTAAAATATAATACACGTACATAATTTAGTTATTAAAGCATAGCACAAAAATAAAACAAAACACAACCCAAATAAACCATAACAGCCCCTACGCACGTATAATAAAATACAAAATCATAATTTAATCTGATGAACAGTAGGTGGAAAAATGGGTCCCCTAACAATCGTACAGGTGAACACAAAGACGAAAATATGACTCATTATTGTATTTATCATAACAATGATCAAGATTACATTGCTCAATCTTTTTAGTAACAAGGTACAGTACTTCCTTCCTATCCCTTCACAGACTTTACTAACTGAATCAACTGCGATCATAGTTGGAAAGCGAGGATCATAAACTTGTTGTTTGAGAGGGTATATTATAGCTGAATGCGGTATTTCCATACTTCCGCTATGACGAGCATCTGGTTATTAAAATCTTTATATAGATCCAAATTTCAGAATTTTTTCTCAAAGAGGTTAGGAAATCTAGAGTTTCAAGCCCGATCAAGAGCTGTTTGAAAGGTTTCTGCATCAACTCATTAATGTAATACTGCAGCTCATCTGGAACAAAGGAACAGAAAGCTAAAGTAATTACACGACAATTCGTGAGCCGGCAACTTAATTAATTTAGATCAAATGGACATCATGCGAGAACGTCATTAATTAATTAATATGTGCAACAATTTTTGGGGACGAGGAATATCCATAAAAATTTTAAATGGAAAAATTTCAGAGAAATTTTAGACGCGTTAAGGAGCATACATATGTTCTTATCTTAATCCCTACCAAGTTTCGTAGTAGTTCCAGTTATACGTATTAATATGTATGCGCTATCGAAACATGTATTCAACACGGGAACAATGAAGAAAAGATGCGTATTGAATATGCCCTTTAATCTATATTTATAAATGAGAGTTACACTAACTGACTCATCTACTTATTCACAAGTAGTATATCTACGATACGTATATGAAGCGAGTGGCACAGATGAGCAGTAGGGAGCGCCTGTGCCTGTTTTGAACCACCCGCCTGTATATTCTGGACTTACATACTACCAACACATCAAGTAGTATCACACCACAGATTCACCTGTCATTAATTGCATTCTCCACCTCTGAAGAGGACAAAGTGGAAATTATATAGCCTACACTGAGTCGATTATTTGCCAAGACAACAAGAAATACCTTCATACCGAAGAAACAACGCAAATTATAACGATCTAGGTTGTGCGTCCCTGCATCTTCGTGGGTCGTTGTGTGTTGAAAGGTTGGCTATTCTGTACCGGCTACTACCCATCTCACAAACATTTCCACCGAATCATTGCACAACCTGGCAACATGGCCGTAAGTGTACCGAGAATAATTATTTTTGATGAACAACAATGTATGTTTCAAGAATGTTGGACAACATTAATTTTTTCTCTCGGGCCTGATTATTTCTCACGACTACTTTCCTTTTTTTCAGTCTTAAATAATTTTTTTCAATCCTGTATTTTTTTTTTATCAGTGCCCAGAATACTTTTTCGCAATCAATTTTTTTTTCTCTGTTAGAATATCTTTTTGCCCAAGCGGCAAACCATAGAAATGTGCGTATTTGGAACTGAAACATTACGTATTTTTTTATGTAAACATAAACACGAACAACTAATACCTTCTTCCTCATCTGACTCGCTTGAACTGTCGGTTGAGTCATTTTGATCATATCAACCTGTATTGATCTATTGGGTCATTTGATTATGATCAGTCACTGTAACAAAGATGCAACATCATTAATTAATTGAAAATCCCGAAGCAGACCGACTTGAGAAGGAGCTAAACTCACTTATCAGAGGGTCTAAAATATGTAAATTTCACATGTTTTATGAATTAAAGTAAAATCTGAGTTTCATTTGCATGTGAGTTGTTGATATGTGTCATAAATGAGAGTTGGAATAACCGTTCGGCACCAGTTGCTCTTTGAGTAGGAGCAACAAACTACACGGAAAAATTGAATAACGAAATTTTGATGATGGAATTTTGAATATATTAACCGAAAGAGAAAAAGTTACAGAATTACAAGAATTAAATTAGTCACTAAAAGATGTGCCAAAAGGGCGAAAAAGGCACTACGTACTAGTACGGGTCGGGGATGGAATAAGACCTAGATTTTAGGGCAGCGCAAGCTTTTATAGACTTGCTGACGTCACAGGTGGTGAGACAACAAGTCTACCCGCTATTGGCTGGCTATAATCAGTGGAGCTATCAGCTGCAAGTTCAGTAATTAAAGTAATGGGTGATTGTAGGTGATGGCTGGGAGATAGACGTGAAAAAGACAGAAATGAACGAAATCCAGCCATCCCTAATGAGTAAACTGAAATGTAATGAAAAATTGAAAATATGAAAGGAAAAAAATGAGAAGGTGTTGACAATATGAGATGTCATGTTGACAGCAATGATTTTGGATACTTGGTCACTGATATAAACCAAAACTTATTGAGTTATGAGCCATAAAACATGCGTTTAAAAGTCCAATGAAACAAATTATGTGATGTGATTAATCGTTTTTGCTTGCATCTGGTATAATCTAATTATTTTCGTGGCTCATAGACCTCGATAGATGAAGGAGAAAGGCAAGGATGTTTTGAGAAACCAATGATACATATTTAAACCAATAATTTTTAATATTTTTAAGAAATCAATCAAACATATTAAAACCAAAAATTTTTAATTAAGAAAAAAAACCCCAACCCTAAAAACCTAATATCAGTATTGAAGGGTTACAAAAATACGAAGTCTTCTTGGAGGTCACAATAAATAGAAGTTACTCTGGTGGTTTTTGAAAATTCAGTCGAGAAAAAAAAATGATTTTTAATGAATCAGAACTTCCAGGATACCATTGTGAAATAAACAGCCCTGTTTTTCTTTTCACTGCTATGCAAGCCATAAATGTAATTTAAGATTCTAAAAAATTTAAAAAACTTTTAAGACAATTTTTGAACCACTCACTTGCATAAAATCTTCTTTTATGCAAGTTGCGGAATTGACCAGTCGCGCCGATGATGGAGGGCAGGTAACCTCCGAAACGCGTCCGCTTCCGTGAAAAGAAGATTTTATGCAAGTGAGTGGTTCAAAAATTGTCTTAAAAGTTTTTTAAATTTTTTAGAATCTTAAATTTTACTCTTGTGTAGTGTTTTAAACTCCTAAAAAATCGTTTCATCATAAATGTAATCACCGATTAAAATTCTTCATCGCCCTCCCAAATTTAAAAGCAATACTCACGGATATGAGAATTTTCCTCTTCCAAATCGTACTCATCGATACTATGTATAAGGTCCAAGTCATGACTTAGAGCCCCACGACCTTTGGCTTGACGCCCTCTGCGTGACGCTTCTCGAGAGCCATTTGCATTGCTGGGAACTGCAGCAGTAACCATTCGAGTTGTCCTGTAACTGGCGTTGGGAACCCCTCTATTTGGTCTTCTTATGACCCTTGTTCTGGGTCTTAGCGATGTTATTTCTGCATCAAAGAAAATAAATGCGTCGAGAAAAAGAATAGGAAGAAATAAACAATAAGTTTGCAATAAAAAAATAAACTTCGAAGAGAAATTAAAATTATTCAACTTCAAGTATTTTATGTGCAGCAGCAGCCAGTTTCTGTCTCTTTCTCTCTCTTTCCCTTTCTTTTAGTCACTCTTTGTCTGTAGTTTACTGTGTAAAAATCATTTTGCTATTTTATCAAATGTGTGAACTGTAAAAGAATTGGGTTAAAATAAATCGAAAGTAGAAAAAATTACTCACCACTGAAAGCGAAGAGTGCGATTGGAGATAGACACAATTTATAAATTAATATTTCAAAAAACGAAGGACACGATTTATAATTTAATTGATAGTTCAAGAAACGAAAAACACAATTTTTAAATTAATAGTTCAAATAACAATCAAAGATAATGATACCAATACTGGTAACAATACGGATCTTTAAGTTGAAATTGAGATAGAAAAACTTAGGCACAACTTAAGGCGGAGCACGCAAATTACACGCAGTAGTACAGAGTAGGTGAACGCACGTGAAGACCAAGTCTCGAAGACGCACACCAAACGTAAATGGTAACAATACGGATCTTTAAGTTGAAATTGAGATCGAAAAACTTAGGCACAACTTAAGGCGGAGCACGCAAATTACACGCAGTAGTACAGAGTAGGCGAACGCACGCGAAGACCAAGTCTCGAAGACGCACACTAAACGTAACCAGACGCGCACATACGATATAAGGACATACGATGTACGGAAGATCCCGCTAAGCAGGGTAGATGTCGCGACCCTGACCAATCAGGAATGACAACCCCCTCTCACGTCATCTGTGACGTAGCGCTTGCTCGGTGCTTTTCCCCTCTCTCACCCTCCAGGCGGCGGCGCGCTCAAGAAGTGTGAAAAAACAAATGACTGAGCACAGTTGGCTGATGCGGGCAAGTAGTGTTACTGAAGGGAACAATAGAACACAAGTTAAGTTATTCAGTCTTCAAAATATAAGAAATGTATTAAGGAGAGCGGACCCAAGAAATGCTCAAGGCGACAGAGATGGGTGTCTGGCGAAGATCGACTGGAATCTCGAGGAGAGAACCAAAGAACGTGTCCGAGAGATAATGGGCGTTGAGGGGACGATTGTGCACGATATCATGACCAAGCAATTGGTATGATATGGGCATGTGCAGAGAATGGCTGATACTAGGTTGCCGAAGAAGGTGTTGGAGTGGGTCCCCCCAGGTTGGCGACGGAGAGGGCGTCCAGCCAATGAGGGCATCCGTGAAGAGACGGAGAGATGCCAGTTTCCGGAGGATCTCTACCATGGCCCTGCGTGGCGAGTAGGCGTCGCAGACCGCCCTAGCGCACCGTGAAAGCGGCTTATACACACATGAGTAGAATCAAATAAGTTTTGCTCTTGGAGCCATCGTTTTTTAAAAAAGTGACTTTAGTTATTTTAAAACTTCAGCATGTTTTCTGAAGTCCTCATACTCTTGGAAAGTCGATTTTAATAGTGGTCAATCTTCGTTTTCAACAGAAATTTTTTTTTGGCCTCTTTTATCACTGGAAGTTAAATTTTTTGTCCGTACCGTAGACCAACTAAACAGGCTTGTTTTCCTAACAATACGTGCGATAATAATACCGTTTTAAGTTTTTTTGCACTCATTGAGCTATATTCTTGTAGAAGAATAAAACAAAATATCCTTCAAACTTTTTACTTTCAAAATTTAGCCCCCAAACTGCTCTAAAGTCCGATTTTTAGAATTTTGTGCCATCATTTTTCTCCTAAAAAAGCCAGGAAATGTAATTAAACGCTTAATTTTAATTAATTTCTTTAGAACTAACTTAGAAGATGTGGTAGACAACTTTTTTAAAGAATTTCTACAGGTTTGCTCTTTTTAAAGCTACAAATTGTACAATTTTTACTGGTCTACGGTACAGGACAATAACGTTACGGTACGCACAAACGGGCAACGGTAAGGACGAAGAGGCATTCGTAAATATTACTGTATGCAAGGGCCGAATTATAAAGAACTGAAATTAATTGGGGAATAAACTGCCAAGTTATAGCATAGCTTATAAGTGCCACTTTTATAAATAATTACAGGCAATTAAGGTAAAAAGAGTAAGTAAATCAGTTTTTCAAAAATAATGAACTACTTTTACTTTAAAGTAAACGCATTAAATAATTAGAGACAAATCTTAGAGGCTGAGTTCTTAAAACAAGCTTGACAACGTTAGAACGTTTTAGGTGCACTTTTACAAAATAAGAAAGAAAACAAAAAGGTAAATTTATCGAAAATGTGGTCACAAATCACCTTAAATAAATATTTAAAGGACAATAAGAAAAAAATAAGTTAGATATTAACGAATAAATAATAAACGAATAAATTGCTATGAACTTCAGGCGAAAAAGAGGACTCAAAGTTCTAAAAGAAAAAATGAAAAAAATAAAAAGATGGCGATCCTTATGCGATCATCGAAAAAAAAACCTCCTTCTTCTAAGTCGCGTCGTACTAAAAAAAAATACGTCTCTCTTTTTTTTTTTTTAAATTCCAAATTTTGGTGATAGATAAAATAAAGTAAAGTGGGATGATCTATCAAACAGCGCACCGATTTTTGGATGACTTTCGCATTTTGTCCGTACTTACCGTAGACCCGGCCGCATCGCGCGTCAGCTACGGGGTACGGTACCGGACGGCTACGGGCTACGGTACGGACGGCTACGGTGCGGACAAATCGTGTGATTATTGGCAACGGTGCTCGGGCATATTCACGCATGTGGTTGAAATTCTGGATTTGAGGTTAAGATATCAGAGCGTATCAAAAAATACCAAAATTCGAGAGTTTGAAGTGATTTATGCACTAAAAAGGTAGGTGTACGGTAAGGACGTCCTAGATGGTCGTTAAACCTAGAAACTCATAAAAAACGGTCAAAATTTACTGTTTCATTGCGGTTTTTTTTCCTCTGCTTGACATCAGCGTGTGATAGTCACGATAACGCAAAAAAAGTAAACAAAGTTCATAAGTGCTGCACTCTAACGGACGAAATGATGCTGAAAAAAGGGGGCTACGGTACAGGACGCGAATTCCGCAGACAAGGCTGCTTGACGCAAAGACGGTCAATATTTTCACTTATTTGGATGAATATAACTCAAAATAATAAGTTAGGTACAAGTTAAGTGTGAATTTACAGCAGAAGTGGAAGTATTTAGATGCAAGATGATGGTTATGAAGCGTTAAAGTTGCGCACTTGAGTCGCAGACAGGCTACGGTACAGGACATTTCAGCTGTTTAGGGCCAAAATTCTGATATTAAATGGCAAAAACTGCCTAAAACGATGTTGGGATCTGATTAAGCGTAAAATTTTGAACAAATTTAAAAAAAAAAAAGGTCAGATTTTTCCATTTTGAAGGGCTAAAAAGTCGGGAGACATGGTAGAGCAAAACTTATTTGATTCTACTCACTATACGTAAAGGATAAATTATTTTCCCCACAGAAAACACAATTAAAATTAAGGCTAATCCTGATCGGTGATGACAGCTTTTAGGATTTTTCAACATCATTAAGTATAAAACACAATAAATACGGCTGACTTTTTTATCTACATTTTCAGTTCTTAAGTAAAGAAATATACATCAAAACTACAAAAAAACGAAAAAAAAAACATTAAATTGGCAAAATTTTGATAAGAATTTCACCGCAAATTAGGGAAGAAATTGAACCTTATATCTTCAGGTAGTAATGGGCCACTAAGTGAGGTATGAATTGAACTACATTTTGCAATTTGGAACTATAAATTCTAGCCCGGTTTAAAAACAACGTATGTGCCATTAGTTTCCCTATGCACATAAGTGTTTTTCCAGAAGAGCCAGAATTTATAGTTCCAAATTGCAAAATGCAGTCCAATTTAGACTACGCTCCGTATTTCCTCTTCAAAAGTTCATAAGAAAAACGAATCGCACAGTCGGAAATCTGAAAATGAACTCCTGAACAAGTTGAAAGTGTTTTCAATTGAACCGCGTTAAACAGAAAGGAGCCAAGCCACATCAGCCATTGCCAGATTCAATTGGACGAATTAATTTTTTACATGAAAACGGTTGGGCGGATTTTCGTGCAAATTTCAGTGAATTTTCTCCATTGTATGACGCAAATTCCTTAAAATTTTCAAATGAATCCATGTCGTTTTTTGTTACCCGTATCAAAAATTTCAGTTATCTGCTTTAAAAAATGACGTTGCATAACAGTCATCACAACAGGAGTCTGGGTGATCCGGTTACAGACTGTGCCTAATGAGTGTATAGGTTCTCATCATCAGTAACAACCTATCAGAGGGATCAGGGCGTCGTCACTTGAGAATAATATAGACGCAAAGCATGATGTACGGTTTCAATGTTTTAGATAATCCAATCCTTAACTTATAAGCTTTTATGGAAATGAACGCGGTGCACGGCAATAATTTAAAACTGTTTTCACCTCCACGTAATTGAATAGCCTAAAAGTAAAGTTTGAGACGAAAAATTTGGTAAAATTGAAAAATGAAACGCTAATGCTCTCTGGCGGATTCAGTTTGAACCAGGAAAATTTGTAGAAAGGTCGTCAAAATGTATTCAACTTGTCTCCACCATGTTTCAATGATAAGCAAGGCACTGCTTTGTTCAACTGATATATTCCGGAGACATTTCTGAAATAAAGTCCCTCATCCTTATGCATTTATTTTCATTTTTTAAATGTTATGTTTATGACACATCCTTTTTTTCTATCAGCTTAGTTATAAGTACAGAATGGCCTGAAGTCAGCTAGCATCAGGGACCCGGAGCCGGCTCCGGCTCCGGGCTCCGATTGAGAGCCGAGCCACGCACGGAGCATCGGGCTGAAGAGCCGTCCTCTGCCAGCGGAGCCGCCTGGGCCGGAGCCGAGCATGTAACACGGTCGGCTCCGGCCGGTAGCTGGCTCTGCGCGAGGCAAGCTCCGTTTCAGAATTCGGAGCTTGGCTGAAACGGAGCCGGCTCCGCTCCGGTTTCGGTCTGTATCTCGGACTATGCCTTCCCCCGCCCCCCCCCTCCCCGCTCCACTCTTACTTATCGCAACCTTTTTATCCCTCTCCCCTCCTTGTACGCACAATCCATCGCGTCCTCAATGCTTCTACTTTCTGTCATTTTTGTTTTTCACCCATCGGCCGGCCGGCTTCCTGGTCTAGGCACTCTAGTGTGATTTGGCGGCTGTCTATTCCACACAACATTTTGTTATTCCCTCGGCCGTTGGCCACTCCAGTGACTCCCGTCCCTTCAACAGCATTTCATGCTTGAATTTTCGATCACCTTTCTTAGTGAGCTCAAGTTCATTATGGACCATCGCACGACCAAGATTATCGTCCGGATGGCAGCTGCTTATGCGTGTTGCATTGCCTTTACAAGTCTTGTCTTGTAATCGCAGTAAATCCCCCGACCCCACGAGGAAAAATATATTATTATTAAAAAAAATACTATTAACAATCCTTACAAACGTTTGTGTGGATAAGGACCGTTGTTTTAGTAAGTGAGCTTTTTTGGCCGCCTTTTTAACAACCACCACCACCACCCCCCCCCCCCCCC